TAGATGGCGTTTAAGGACTCTGCCCCGATTTCCCTGAAAGGCCAAAGGGCGCAGACCCAGATTCAACCAAGCAGACTCTCATAGTCTACCCTCCCGGGCCACTGCCCTGCTCACTCGACAGACCCCGCACACGCAGCAATCAGTGTGAGTGGGGCAATCGGTATCCTTGGCCAACCCAGAGCCGCCCCTCCCCTCCAGGGCCATGGGGCAGGCACTGGGCACGGCTGGCCAGTGGGAGGGAGGAAGGCGGAGAGGATGGGAGGGGTCACCAGGATCCCCTGTGGGGGATGCAGGTGCAGTGTGCACCAGCTCAGGCCCGAGGCTAGACATGCAAAACGTGGGAGCGGGCCGGTCGACATAGGAAACTGCCTCCCTGCCTGGGGCCCCTCACTGGTGAAAAAGGTTGAAATGTCTTACTGTTAAAACCCGAGGGCAAGCCCTGCTGAGACACTGGTACACGTGAGAGCTGGCCTCCTGTGGGGAGGCAGAGGCGGGCCATGGTCTCACCTGGTCCTCCTCGCCGCCACCTTCCTCGTCATACTTAAGGATGTTGTCGCGGACGTCGTCCTCGGGGTCAATGAGCAGCTGCTTCGTGTGGCGCTCCTTCTCCCGCCGCTTCATCCACATGACAAACAGCAGGACCATGGCTGCGGGGGAGGGCCGCCCGTGAGCAGGGTGTGTGGGTGTGCCGCATGTGTGCACACGCATGCCTCTGTTTGCCACGTGTCTGTGTGGGCATGTGCATGCAGGTGGCACGCAAGCATGACTCTGTGCCCGTGTTGCTTGCACACCTGTATTGCACACGCACATGTGTCTCTGCATATGCAGGCCTGGGTGTGCAAGGACACACATCTGTGCACATGTGTGGCCCATATGCGTGTGCATTTGTGGATGTAGATGTTTCATGCATGTCTAACCATGCATACATGTATCCGCAGGAATATGTGTATATGAAGGCTTGCACATGCGTGTGCCTGTGCGAGCATGTAGATCTGTGTATGTGTGTGCTCGTGTGTTTGTGTGTGTATGTGACCTGGGCCACAGATGCGCCCGCTGCCCGCTGCCCTGTGGCCTGGTCTCCAAGCATCCCACAGAACCATGCTGTCCCCTG